AAAGAGTGAGTCCAAGAGAAAGACAAAGATGCTGCCATTTGGGATGAGACAAAAGAAACACGAAGGTCAAGAAACCTACTCAACGTTGAACAGCAGACAATGAAGTAGTTGTGAAGGATTTTACTAAAGTATGCATGGGGATTTGGATTAAGGTTTCATTAAGTCAATCCTTAAGCATGGGTTTTGTGTAATTACTCTGCCTTTTTTTTGGTCTTCTTGTGATAGATGTCCAAGGGGGGCAGACAAGACAAGACAGCATCTTATATCAATACATAACCTCTCTGTTTGTCTCTTCTTGACAATTACATCCAAGAAATTGCAAGTAGCATAAAAGAAATCAAGAGAGATGAATTTGATCCATTTGTCTGAAAACGATTTGCTTCTTGTATAGTTTACAAGCCATGAAAAATTGCCAGAGAGAGTTACAAGACATGCTATTCAAAGATCCAGAAACATACCATCACTTTAAGTGTGATGTGTCTTGGAGAATGAATTCTAACTAACTACAAAGCAATAACGAGGATCATAACACTCCCCTAAATCTGACACAACCTCTTCCTTGGTTCCCAATCTTCCATGTTCATGTTCTGTCATTACTCTCAGAAACTCTTTAAGAGCTCTCCTCATCCACTCATACCGGCATAGCTCCAATGCTTCTTCAGTGCTCAGCTGCATTTTCACCAATCTAGAATCTCATCAATCATTCAAACATGTGTGTATGTATGCACATACATACATGTATATGTATCATTATATGTATGACTACATATTTGTGCTTACCCATATCCTCTTTCTATTTTCTCTCTCTGGCCACGCCTCGAGTTCTTCTGTTACCTCCAATGCAAACATGTAACCTTTGCATCCTCCTTCTTTGCAGCATTCAGCATCAGCTGAACTGCTTTTGCTTCTAAACTCCCAAACTCCCAATGGAACTTCCTGAACATGCATACAACAGTAAAGGACTTTCAATCTTCAATCTACAATCTAACAAATCTCTTTCTTGATGATTCTACAATCAGAAGAAACAAAACAAGAAATTTCTTGGGATGTTTCCAATGTCTGTCAAAACGCCAACTTACTCTCAGTATTCCTTTCACTCCGGCTTCTTCCATGGCTTCACGGGTCGCGGCCTCCAGAACAGTCTCATCATCCTCCCATCCCCCCTGAAAATGCAAAAATCATTTAGCATACGTTGGCACATACATGGTCCTTCAGCTTCATATCAAAACAAAGCTGATCATTAAATGGAGCAATACAGGAATATCCAAATGTAAAAACCTTTGGAAAGACAAGATCATGACGATTAGGAGATGAAACCATAAGAACTTCGATCTTGCTCTCAAAGTCAACATTCAGATCCTCATCATCCTTTACCAGCCTGTAGGGAATGCATCTGTCATGTGTATGAACATTATTGCATCAAGGGATGCTGTTTTGTATCTGATTAAGATTTAGATTAGAGATTGCAATTGAAGCGAGGCCGAAGCGATTATAAACCAAAGAGCGGACAACCATTGCAGCACCGCAGTTTGGTATCGAGAATAATGTAAGGATTTGGATCAAACCTGCCTCTTATATGAAAAGCTTGACGAAACACACGAACACGATGAAAAGAAACTATTCCAACAAGATGAGAACAAAGAAGTCAATACCCAGAAACAAGGCGAAAATTGTTGTCGTAACGTTGCCTGTCTCGTCCGGTTCGGGCCGAAAGGGACGACATTGATATCCTGAGAAATGGGAATCAACCCAAAAAAGCTCATGAAGCTATGTAAAAAGAGACAATGAACCAAGAAAAGGAAGGAAGGAAGGAGACAAGTTACTCGCAGAAAAAGCAGCTCCTCAAACTCTGGAGATTCTTGTTCTTGTCGTGAATGTTAGCAACGAGGCATCTTTAGACCTTCCACGGTAAATCTGAATCATCTTCTTCAAATCATATTTCAGAATAATCCGCCCAAAAAAAGAAATACAGAAAAAGATCGATCCTTTCTTTTAGGGAAGCAGAGATTTTTGCGGGAGAGGGAAAGGCTGAGAGGCATTGCTTTGTAACCACCCGTTTATTTTCATTCATGTTCACCCATCAAGTCTGCACCTTTCATATGCATGATCGAGTCCAGAGAATGCCCATATCAAACTCATCATTCATCATCACGCCATTGCCGTGCGCTCAAGTCCTGGGCAAAGAAGCGTGGAAGATAAATGGGCCTTTAATGGGCCTACAAGTGGGCTAAAATATGGATAATGAAGCCGAGAAGATAAATGGGCCTTTTGGTGGTCGCCGTGATCTTCATTGGCTCTCGTTGACTAACCACACGGAACGCGAAACCGTGAAACCGCTCTGCCACTGAAAGACCAAACGTTTCCCGACCCCACTTTTTTGTCATACAATTCGCTATATATATTTCTTTTTTTTGTTAAAAGTGAATAAAAAATTACAATATTTAGAGAATATTTTAATGAATGTCTGTTCGTTGAATATTTAATTTAAATTGCTATAAATACCTTTTAGTGAGCCTGTAAAGTAATACGAAGAAGATTATGTAGTCAAACCACCTGCATCTACATTTTAAATTCACATTCCGCGAAAAAGGACACCCATATTTTACATTTTCAGGATATGTACGTAAGGTAACAAATACCAAATCAACGATGAAAACAAACAGAGGAGAGCCTCTGCGTGTTCGTCCTCTGGACTTGAGGCGGAAGACAACGTTACAAGCCTCTCTCTTGTTCTTGTTCTTGTTATTGTTCTTGTTCTTGTTCTTGCTTGTTTTGACTCTATTCGCTGGATTGCAATCTGTCGAAGAGACCCACTTGCTCTGTTCTTCAAAGGTTTAATCTTTATCCTTCCCCACAAAAAGAAAATTGAAAATCATATGGTGGGGTAGTTGGCGTAAACTCTGTCAATGTCAATTCGAGTAACATAAGCTACGGGAATGCCGCAAAATTGAATCTTGCAGTAAAATTTGTAACGAGTTTGATATTTCTGTTGAAGTCTGCAGAGAGAGAGAGAGAGAGAGAGAGAGGATTGTCTGCGCGATGTCACTTTCTGTCGGCATTGTCGGATGACTTGATTCTCTTACAATCTCTATGGTGAGTTTATTCTAGAAAAATTGCGGCGGCGGAGGTTGATGCTTCAGGGGCTTGTCCTGAATCGGTTTTCCGACCATTCATCAGGGATGTTTTCTGGGTTTATCGAGTCTCCGTATCTGTGTTCGTAGATTTCCGTTCTGGGTTTTCATCTCTGGTAGTCCATCGATTTGTCTCTGCACAAAAAAGTAATCCCCCCCCAATTTAATGTCGGAAATGTGGGAATTCCCGCCGTTGATTTAGGAAATTGTCGATTCCGTGATGTTTTCATGCTGATGAACTTCAGCTTTCTGAATATCTGCTTGTGTCGCCATTTCTCTGGTGCTCAAGTTTTGGAATTTATGTCAATGAATTTATGTGAATCCATATCTGTTGTCGCATATCTCCACCCATTCATGTAGAAGAATCTTATTCATTTACATTTTGACTCCTTTTACCTCTTTTAATGAAAGTTGTAAGTAAATCCACAAGCCTTGTTTGCTTTTGTTTTTTTTTGTCTTGTCTTTTACTGTTTTTCTTATCGAGCCTCGCCGCCATTTCTTGCTTTCAGGTAGTTATGGCATGGTAGAAGTTTGAAGAATCTCTGAAAGAGTTTTTTTTTTGTACCAAATGTCAAAAACTCTTGCAGCAGCCATTGGAGGTGCTGCAGGAGCTCTTGCATTCATGGCTCTCTTGATCTTTCTCCTATGGTTTTGCCGCTTTCTTTGTCGGAATCTGTCAAGAACTTCTGAGACAACCTCCTCTTCTATTCAAAGTAATCAAACTCTTTAAAAAGTTTAGTTCATGTCCATAGTTTGATGACTGGTTATATCAAGAAGATCGATCCCCTTTTTGCCTTTTCTTTTCAGCAATGAGAAACGTCACGACCGAGTTGTCTCTTCGAGAAGCTGGAAGATTTGAGTTGGACGAGTTGACTCAGGCCACCAATGGTTTTACCAGTAAGAGTCTCATAGGTGAAGGCAAGTTTGGTGAGGTTTACAAGGGATTGCTTCAAGACGGCATGCTCGTGGCCATCAAGAAGCGACCCGGATCTCCTACTCAGGAATTCATCAATGAGGTTATATAAACCTTACTCTTGTTTTCTAGAATTTGAGAATCAAGATTCAGAAGAGCTGAACTAAGAGGTCTCGAAAACGCTTTTCAGATCCGATATCAGTCATCTATCCATCACCGCAATATCGTCACTCTCTTGGGTTACTGTCAGGAAAACAATATGCAGTTTCTGGTTTATGAGTATATTCATAATGGAAGTGTTTCCAGTCACCTTTATGGTAAGCTCTCTCTGTCATATCAAAATTCCATCTTTTAGATTGGCATTCACATAAGAATACCATATGATGTCCTAACTTAAAAGTGATTCTTGGCCAGGAAATTTTAACATTATTCATCATCATCACTCATCTTCTTCTTCTTCGATCAGGTGATGGTGGCAAAGGGCCTGGACAGAAGCTAGAATTCAGGCATAGGCTCATGATATCTCTCGGGGCAGCTAAAGGTGATCATCCTCTGCAAAATCAGTGAGCATTTGTGGCTTTCCTGGTATCGGCTTTTTCTTTTTTCGGGTAGATAGAACAATCAAAGTAATGAGCCTTGATTCACTCAAACTAGGTGCTTTGAACACAGCTTTTCTTGTTGAATTTCTCCTCCCTGATCTGTAATCTGTATATCCTTTCCTCTTCTGTTGTTCTTGGATTCCAGGATTGGCACATCTTCATTCTTTGAGTCCTCTACTAATACACAAGGATTTCAAAACAACCAATGTCCTTGCAGATGAAAATTTCACTGCCAAGATTGCAGATTCAGGGCTTTGTACTCTCCTAGATACAGAGGATGCCGGTTCATCCTCTCGAATGGTGGCAGACGAGATATTACTCGCCCCGGAGTAATTTTACCTTTGAGGCTCCCACCTTCTGTTTTTTTGCAACACCATCTTCATGAAAAAGATAGAACCAGTTTCTCAGATGAATCAGCATTTTCATTTGCAGGGTTCAAGAGTTCAGAAGATTTTCAGACAAAAGTGATGTTTATGCCTTTGGGGTATTCCTACTGGAACTAGTGACTGGTCGAGAAGCATCAGAGCCGTCCCCTTCGTGTTCAGACCAAACTCTTCTCGAATGGGTATGTAAAAAACTGATTCTCGAAACCATGAGTCAGAAACGAAACGGATCAAAGAGTTACGCTGATCAGTTGATTGAAAAAGTGAAAGAGACATGATGAATCAGTAACTTAAGCCAAAGGGTATCACGTTTTTCACATTGCAGATGCGAAACAATGTGGATTACACTGATCTATCCGTGGCGGTGATAGACGAGAGACTGGGGAGTAGCTACACAGAAGAAGGAATGGAGGAGCTGATAAGATTAACGGCACCATGTTTGGAAGTGTCGAGTGAGAGGAGACCTGAGATGAGCTATGTTGTGACAGAACTGAAGAGAATACTAGACAGAGAAGTGAGCTTGACGACATTAATGGGTGAAGAAGGCACACCAACCGTTACTCTTGGAAGCCAGCTTTTCAAAGCCATCCAGTGACAAGAATGGAGGAGGAGATGTTTGGTTCAAGTGTATAAAGAGCAGCTGATGCTAAGCTATTCGTGGTGTTTTCCCCTCCTTTGGATTGGAGTTGTTATTTCAGAATATTTTTTTTTGGTTTTCACCATGAATGCAGAAAATAAAGGGAGCCGAAGAGTGGGATGTAGAATTGTTAAACATGATCTTGAATCTTGAAGTGTAAATGATGTTTTAACAGATTCCCTTTTCTTGTATCAGCTTTTCTGTAAATTAAACAAAACATTAACAGTTTTTTGGATTCTCTCCATTAAAAGTAGCATAGGAGGAGAGAGTTTTCAAGTTTGATTTGCTAAATCTCGTAGGCACAGACAGTCAAAGTAGATCCCCGTATGAATGCATTGGCCGGATTCTATGTCGGAGAAAATCTTCTTACTGCAATACAGTTGAACGAGAACAGAACAGTGGTGGGTCTCTCTCTGTCTCCTCCGGAATCCTGATCCTGACTGTCGGAAAACACACACACAGATGAAAAACATGCTATGAATCAGATATTGTTTTGATTGAATTAAATTGGTACCCAGTAAATAAAAATGCAAGAAAAATCGTGGGCCATTCAATTTTTCACAGATCCAGCGACTCACGATCTCAAAGGCTAAGCCTTTTCAGCCCCACACTCTCCGCTCTCTCTATTCGTCTTCATGCCATCGACAATGACGACGAAGCTCCTCTCACCGCCGTTATCATGTCCGTGTATTATTCCCTCAAGAGAGGTGGTCGGGAGCTTTCATCGGCGGCGAATATGGCCGAGTTTCCGGCGGAATCGAGCGGGGGGCTTCCGTGTCGCCGCCGTCATGACGGAGGAGACCTCCTCCCTCTTCGCCGTTGCTTCTTCGGCGCTTCAGCTGCAGCAATGGTGGCATCAGAACCCTGATTCCGTACTGTTAATGGCGGAGACTGGAGGTTACTCGCTCGCCAGCTACTACACGTCTCTGGGTCTATTCGTGATATCAGTTCCAGGACTCTGGTCACTCATCAAGCGCTCTGTCAAGTCTAAGGTCTGTTCTTTCACGCTCCTCCGTTATACCCTAACCCCCAAATCCTTCTGGTTACCAATTTTTCCATTCGATTCACTATGAATCCGAATGCTCCAGGTAGTGCGGAAGACATTTGTAACCGAAGACGGAGTGAGGAAAGAGCCGAAGCAAGTTGCTGGGGAGATACTCTCATTCTTCACACGCAGCAATTTCCAAGTCACTGATCGAGGAGAGACGATCACGTAAGGCCCTGTTTACATAAAACCTGGTGAAATTTCTCAGGAAAGATTGTGAATTTGGTCATGAATCTCATGTGGGTTTGCATCTGTCTGATCCATTTAGGTTTGAGGGAATGATGGTTCCAAGCAGGGGACAAGCGGCGTTATTGACGTTCTGCACATGTATAAGCTTGGCTAGTGTGGCGCTTGTTCTCACCATTACTGTTCCTGACGTGGGCAACAACTGGTTCATCATCACCCTTCTCAGTCCACTCGCGTAAGGCCTCCCTCTCTTTCCTCTCTCAACTCTCACAACCCACACAAAAGAACAAAGAAACAGAGGTTCAGAATCTGAATCTTGTCTGAATGAGTAAGATCAAGATTTCTGGGTTTGGAATTGGATGGTTATGTGCAGAGGAGCATATTACTGGACAAAAGCGTCGAGGAAAGAGCAGATCGAAGTGAAGATGACGGTGGGAGGCGATGGGACATTGTCTGAGATTGTCGTTCAAGGAGATGATCTACAGGTTGAGGAGATGAGGAAGGATCTCAAGCTCAGTGAGAAAGGCATGGTTTATGTCAAAGGAGTCCTCGAGAGATGATGATGATGATCAACTTCATCTGCCATCCTTTTTTTGGTAAAGGACCCAACTTTTTTTTTTTTTGGCTGAGGGATTTAAAGATGTACGATGATATGCATGAGACATATACATCTTTATTGACATATGAGTGAATAGTTTTATAACAAGAAGGAGTTCTCATAATATATTTTTTTTTTAAAGATCGTTTTTTGTTAATAAAAACGGAATTCGAATAGTATTTTGAACTAATTTGGCACCATTTTATAAAAAAACTAAAAAAATGTAAACCTGAAAATAACGAAATTAACCCTAAAATATAATATTAAAGGCCGTGAATACAATTCACTTAATTGTGGGCTTTGCCTGGTTAGGTTAAGCCCAGCCCAATCCATTAGCTGTCTCTGTAATGATTTATTTATTTTCTTCTGAAGACGGAGATAAAATAATACAAGTTTCAAGCAAATATAAATAAAAAAGGGGGGGGGGGATATTATATTATTATTTCCTAATGCAAGTAGCTATCGTTTGAATTGATTTGCAATGATTCGTATGGAAAACAATTATAATGGAGTGACAAGGAGAAAAGCATAATTGTATGGAATCTTTTATCCCTTATGGCATAAGCAACTCAACAATATTCTAATTCATAATCCAAATTTGAGCGATCCAGTGGTAAGAGAATATACAAATCATGTTTTTACTCTGGGTTTAAATGGAAAATGATATTCATCTTAAAGATATTATTGAATCAAAGATCCGATAAACTTTCGGATTATCAAAAAAAAATCTAATCCACAAAAAAAAAAATACATACACTAACATACATATTATAAAACCATATATTTTTTTTACTTTCCAAAGTAAGATATAAATGAATTATATATTTTTTGTGTTGAATGATAATTTTAGCGATGATTTGTAGATGTATTGTATAATGTACGCCAACATCATTTTTTTCATAAATTTTTTTGATATATAAAATTTGTTATTTAAAAATATTTCATTCGTTAAATTTTAGTTCATTGGAATTTATATTCATTTTTATAAAAACAAATTATTTATTTTTAAGAGATTTTTATTTTCAGATAAAACTTTTAATTTTTTTTATTTTCTATTTAGATTAATTATGTTGATTCCAAAAGCGATATCACGGAATTAAGAAAAAATTTTAATTTAAATATTTAAACTTTTGGCGGATTTAATCAAAATATCGAACAATTAAAAGAAACAAAAAAAAAGTGGATAAAGTTTTTAAATTAATAAAAGAAAACCGTTTAAATATTGGGTCGAGAGACTGGGGAATCATCCAAAAATCGACTGTTGAATTGGAAGCTCCGACAGTCTCTGTCTTCCCCCAGAAAATTTCCTCGGCCTGACTTTCCACGCTCTTCACTCCTTCAGTCTTCTTCTTCTTCGAGCTTCGGCCATGGCGGTCGATGCTTTGTGCTTCCTATTTGTGGCCACGATCGTCGTCGGAGGCGTCCATTCGGAGTACATAGCTTACGACACCACGCCGAGGATCGTCCCCGACAAGATCAATGTCCACTTGGTCCCTCATTCTCACGACGATGTCGGCTGGTTGAAGACCGTTGACCAGTACTATGTCGGGGCGAATAACTCCATTCGGGTATTCCTTTGCTTCGTCCTCTCTGTCTTTCATGGAGAGACAATGGCTTCTGCGATTTTAGGGTTTCTTATCATGGGTTTTGTTGTTTGAACAGGGGGCTTGTGTGCAGAATGTGTTGGATTCCGTCATCGCGTCTTTATTGGATGATCCAAATAGAAAGTTCATTTATGTTGAGATGGTATGATTGCGACAAAACAAAATATTTCCCTAGATTTTTTTCTTTCTTGTTCGTTGGAATTGACAATGGTTCTTTGTTTTATCAGGCATTCTTCCAAAGATGGTGGAGACAGCAAAGTAAAGCTACAAAGATTAAGGTGAAGCGGCTTGTCGACACCGGTCAACTAGAGTTCATGTCCGTTCGATCTCACCTTTAAGTTCTCATGTTTTGCAGTGTCTTGTATTATTCCTGGTAATCTTCTTATTTTGGTATGTGCATTTGCAGAAATGGTGGGATGAGTATGCATGACGAAGCGACCCCACATTACATCGACATGATTGATCAGACAACCTTAGGCCATCAGTTTATCAAAAGTGAGTTTGGTCAGGTTCCCAGGGTGGGTTGGCAGATAGATCCCTTTGGACATTCTGCAGTGCAAGCTTATTTACTTGGTGCAGAGGTATATGTTGTTCATCATTTTGTACTTTTCGGATTCGGATACAATTTAACGTTTTTCACAAAATGAGCTGGATGAAGTAAGAGCTTTCCGTATATGCGTGATTAGCCTAATCCAGCTCAAGTTCTTTCATCTGATAAGTTTTGGTCACTAGTGCAGTTAGGCTTTGACTCGCTATTTTTTGCTCGAATTGACTACCAAGATCGTGCTAAGAGATTAAGGGATAAGACACTTGAGGTTGTCTGGCAAGGTTGCAAGTCCCTTGGTTCATCTTCACAGGTTTAAACCATTATCACTTATGCTTGTTTTGTATTACTGTTTGCTTGTCCTATCTCACCCCCAATTTGATGACTTTTGCAGATATTCACTGGTATATTCCCAAGACATTATGACCCTCCTGATGGTTTTACATTCGAGATAAACGATGTGTCACCTCCTATCCAGGTAATACGAATGGAACGTGGTGTGATGTGTTTGAACTCTGCCTTGAATTTATGCTGACAAAGCATCTTGAATAAAGGATGATACTCTCCTTTTCGATTACAATGTTCAAGAGAGAGTCAATGACTTTGTAGCCGCAGCCCTATCACAGGCAAGACTTTATAATATTTTCCTAGAAATAGCAATAATTAAAGAACTTTCGACGTGATCGATCATATATGTTGACTCGGCTTTCTCTTGTCAAGGCCAACGTTACCAGGACAAACCATATCATGTGGCTAATGGGGACAGATTTCCGTTACCAGTATGCAAATTCATGGTTCAGACAGATGGACAAGTTCATTCATTATGTCAATCTGGTATTTTGGCTTTCCTTTTAACAGACATTTCTGTTAGATATTTGAGATTTTATCCTCACCACTGATTTCCGGTTAGAAAAAGGTACCAAATTCTGTTCCGTCCTGTTTGGAATATCCAGGATGGGCGTGTGAATGCTTTGTATTCGACTCCATCTATCTACACTGATGCAAAATATGCAGCAAATGAGCTGTGGCCCCTCAAAACTGATGATTTTTTCCCGTGAGTTTGATAGCTGGGATCTTCCTTAGTGTAAATGCATCCATACATTGGTTAACTATTTCATGCGGCTACCCTTGCCAGGTATGCAGACAAATCTAATGCATATTGGACTGGATACTTCACGAGTAGGCCGAGCTTAAAAAGATATGTGAGAGTGCTTAGTGGCTACTATCTGGTATGCTATAACATGTCTAAAAATTCATAAATCTGCAGTTTCTTTTTGCTTCATTGTTATACGGTCTCCTTCTGCTTTGAACAGGCAGCTAGGCAATTGGAATTCCTGAGTGGGAGGAAGAGTTCTGGACCAAATACTGATATGCTAGCCGATGCCTTGGCAATTGCTCAACATCATGATGCAGTTAGTGGCACAGAGAGACAGCATGTTGCTGCTGATTATGCTCTTAGACTCTCAATGGGTTACATGCAGGTGCTTTTCGATTCTCACTAGGTTTTCATGCAGTTGTCTCCTCTTGTTGGCACCGTTATAATTTTTTTTCCTATGTTCATCATTAGGCTGAGAAGGTGGTTGCTGCTTCCCTTGCCTCTTTGTCAAAGTCAAGTGCTGGAGAGGAGAACTCTGCTACAAACTTTCAACAGGTATTATGCTTGTTTAGACTTTGTTTAGGATTCCAGATAATACTAGGCTGTATAGGAGGGCATTCAAATGTTATTGAAATCTCAAGCTTCAATTCGGATAAAATTTTCTTCTATTCGTGCACAAACTGATAGTGACTCGAGTCGCATAAACTTGTAGGGCCTTGTCTTAAAGCTTACGCATGATCACTTTGAAACCTCAGGTTACGACGAATTTTTGTGGTATCATAGTTTAGTATAATCTTATCTTGTGCAACTTTTTGGCAGTGCCCTCTACTTAATATTAGCTATTGTCCTGCATCTGAAGCCCCTTTGTCCAGCGGGAAGAGCCTGGTAAGTTCATCCGATTGGCCTACATTTTGTTTAAAGAGGACTTGGGTTGTTGCTTTGTTTTATCGTTTTTTCAACATTAATCTCTTCTGTAGGTTGTGGTTATCTATAATCCTCTTGGATGGAAACGAGAGGAAGTTGTACGAATTCCTGTGAGTGTTTCCATTTATTTCCTTTTTCCTGTCGAGCTAATCAATTTTTGGTTTATGAAAAATATTTGATTCAATATGACCTTCTGTCCGTTCATCTATTTTGGCAAATGTCTGTGGTCACTTCTTTTAGGTCTCTTCTCAAAATGTTATTGTCAAAGATTCTTCTGGGAAAGAAATCGTGGCTCAACTTCTACCTCTTGTGAAAGCCACATGGAGAATAAGAAATGAGTTTGTCAGAGCATACCTAGGAAAATCACCAAGTGGTGCTCCTAAGTATTGGCTCGCATTTACAGCTTCAGTACCACCTCTCGGTTTCAGCTCATATGTCATCTCAGATACTGCACAAACGGGTTTGCTATGTTTCTAAATGTGGATTCCCATGTAACAATGTTAGATAGGAATCTATGATCTTGACATTATATAACATATGTGCTCACATAACAAACAGTCGACAAAGAATGCAAAAGAAGAGCAATTTCATGTGTTATTTCTTTAGTTCATTTATATCTATTACGGATAATCCCTCACTAGTATATTTACTCGAACATTTCTTTTCTTTAATTTGATTGAAGGTCCGCATCCATTTGTTTCATCGGTCGTTGCTTCTGGAAGTATGATACCGAACGTAGAAATTGGCCAAGGAGATCTAAAGCTGCGCTATTCCTCAGATGGAGTAAAAATGACTCGTTATACTGATACCAGAAATCAGGTATGCTTTTCCTTTTTAGTTTCCTTTCTTCTTTTGCCTTTGGAATACGTAATTCTGAGTGATCTGATGTTGGGTTTTGGTGAACATTAAGGTTACCGCTGAGCAGACATATGCTTATTACATTGGAAGCAATGGAACCAACGAGGATCCACAGGTATCTCAAATCCGTACAAAAGCAACCTTATCTATTATACCTATCTTTATGCAGTGCTTTATTCAATTTTTTGGTTTTCTGTGGTTAAAAGAAAACAATTTCTGTGCTTTGATGTATGTTATATTTGTTGAAGGCTTCTGGTGCTTATGTTTTCCGGCCAGATGGTGAGCGCCCGATAAAATCCGAGGGAAAGGTAATAAAGCTAGAAGCTGCATCAATTACCTGAGTCTCTAACCATATGTGAAAATATGAAAGAAACCTTAGTGACTTGCTTTATTCAGGCTCGATTAACCGTTGTACGAGGCCCATTGTTGGATGAAGTGTACCAGGAGCTCAATCCCTGGGTATCACAGGTATTTTAATCCTGAAACTATACATATATATATATATATATATATATCCTATGCAGTTTAATTACATTAGAGAGGTTTTGAGACCTAGCAATCGTGATTCTTGATCCATCTTTTGGTATACAAAATGATGGGATGCATCAATTTGCAGACTACCAGGCTTTACAAAGGAAAAGATCATGCTGAAGTTGAGTTCACTGTGAGTTAATCTCTGTTTTTATAAATCTGTGTTTCACAAAACTTGATGAAGACCAGTCCAGTGCTTATCATTGCCTACTTTCTAGGTTGGCCCGATACCTGTTGATGATGGTATTGGCAAGGAGATAATCACTGCATTAACAACTACCATGAAGACAAATGGAACGTTTTACACAGATTCTAATGGCCGTGACTTCATCAAACGGGTACATATACAAGCTTCAGGCTCGTACTATTTGCCTTCTACACCTTTTCATTAATGTCATAAATTTTTAATTTTTTTTATGAAGATTCGGGACTTCAGGACAGATTGGGACTTGCAAGTGTACCAACCAGTTTCTGGAAACTATTATCCTGTATGATTTCAAACCCATCTGATGCTTTCTTGTGATAGACAGCAGTCCTTTTTGTACCAGTGAGACTAATTATGCTGAATTACTTCTGCCTTATGTCTTTTAAACCCTATCCTTTCAGATAAATCTCGGAATATATATGCAAGACGAGACCACAGAGCTTTCAGTTTTGGTGGATCGTGCTATAGGCGGATCCAGTTTAGAGGACGGCCAGATCGAGCTGATGCTTCATCGGTTTGTTACTGCCAGATTTATGTAACCTAGACACTAATATGTTCCTTTGCTTGTGTTTTACCTTTTTGTCATCCCTGCAGGAGATTACTTTATGATGATCACAGAGGTGTTGGTGAGGTTCTAAATGAAACAGTCTGTCTCCCGGATGGATGTAAAGGCTTAACTGTAAGGATATGTTCCCAACTCAATTTTGTCACCCAAATTTCTATTTCTTTCGCCATAATGTTTGAGAGCTTCTTTTGCAAAAAGAGAACCGAAGTTTCAATTTTTTCACCCAGAGCATTTTGCGTCTCTAACTTGAGTAATTTTGCAGGTTCAAGGGAAGCTTTACATACAGATAGACAATCTTGGAGACGGGGCAAAATGGCGTCGAACGTTTGGTCAAGAGATATACTCTCCGCTACTTCTGGCTTTCACACAACAGGTCGGTCAATCTGGATAGAAAAAGATTAGTGCTTAAGGCGGTGTATTTGTATTTCAGTTTTGGTGTGACAAAGTTATTTTCTTTGCAGGAAGGAAATACTTGGATTAATTCGCACGAGACCACATTCTCAGCGTTTGAACCGACATACTCGTTGCCAAAAAATGTTGCATTACTTACCCTCCAGGTTAGTTCGATTCAACCTGAAATCCTCACAGATCTATAGATTTTCTTGCCTGTGTCTGTAGAAGGTGCTCTTTTTTAACATGTCTGTCATTCTGAAAATTTTCAGGAGCTGGAAAACGGGGAAGTTCTTCTGAGGCTGGCTCACTTATTCGAGGTTCTTGATCATCTTTCATTTGTGTTTCTACCGTATATATAAAATCGTATTTATCTGCTATATGGTCATGTTTCCTTATATACACCGGCAAAGTTTGGATTTTGGATCTCTAACCGAAATGAATTGGGCACGGAACCTGGAATTGATGAGAGAAACTGGTTTTGGTAACATTGGGAAGGTGGGAGAGGACAAGGACTATTCAGGCATGGCAAAGGTAGAGCTGAGGAAGTTGTTCCGAAACAAGAAGGTAAAATAGAGACAAGACAAGAAAAACACAGATGTGATAGAATTTGTACTTCTGACTCGTAAGAAAGAGTCATTTGCTCCAACACGAAAAGCTGAGGATGACGTACAGGTGTCCTTGTCTAATTGTGAAAATGGAATATATGATCCATTTTCAAAGTTCACTTTCACCACAGATGTTGATCTCTCCGTTAGACAAGCAGTTTCAGAGTTAGATGGCTGGATTGCAAGAGCAGATTCAGGGCTTGTTGATGATTTGGAGAAGCTTCCATATGTAAGTGCTGCTCTGGAGCATTTGGAGCAGAGGAAAAAGTACTGGAATGAGCACAGGCTCTCTAATTTTAGCAAACCTAGCACGAAGGCTAGAAATCAGATGCAGTCTGTCTCACCTGCTAATGTTTCTCAAGTTGGCAATCATGTACCCGTCCAGGGGCATGGAACAACAGCTAGCTGTTCCAATAAGCTAAACAAATCATCAGTGGAGAAGTCCGATGGTGAATCTAGCTTGGACAAGAGTGGTGATGATGGCGACCATCGGATAGAAGACCGGGAGATCCTTTTATCTTCATCCTGCAATGGGAACAAAGGCCTCCTGATGCACCGGGGGGGTTTCAGATAAAGGAAGTAAAGGAGACGAGCCTATCAGCAAACAGAGAGAGGGCAGAGATGGAGAAGAGAAGGCTCGTCTGGAGAGTAGAAGGCGAAGGCGAAGCAGAAGAAGCGAAGAGAGGAGGAGCAGTGGATAAGGAGGAGCTGGTCGTGGTGCTTTCTCCCATGGAGATTCGCACTTTCTTGATCAAGTTTCAGACCATTGAAATGGTTGGTGAAACAGAGCAGCGTGACAGGTTTTGAAAAGAAAAAAAAACAGCGAGTTCAATGCTCATGGAATGGAGCGTGTTTGTGTAGTAAAACATGGGCTTGAATGGAAACTAAAATGATCTCTGTATTCTCTATTTTCAGTGATTTTTATGTGAATTTGAAACATAACCGATTTGAGATTGGAACCTGTTTTGGTTCATGACAGTCCAAATATTTTGTTATCTAAAATTAAACCGGAGATGAATCAAACCGGAAGCTGAACAAACGGAGCCAAAATCGATTGGGACGTCAAATTAATCAGACGTCCAGGAGCAGGGGTAATACGGTCATTTCATAGATGTCTCGATTCTCGAAAGATTCCGTATATCCTGGGATGAAGAAATCGGATCCTGGTCCTGGATCCGGATCCGGGTTTCCGTCGGTTTTGTATAAAGAAAAAAAAATCCAGTGATGTGTTGGGTTAATTTTTTTTTGTTTGTATGAGAAGCACAGAAGCGGTGGCTCCGAGCCGGCGAATCTCCCTCTCTCCTCCGTAGAATTTTCATGTCCATCTTGTCTCCTCCGCAATCTGAAGGTCCCAAGTCGTCGTTCTCATCTCCAGATCCATCTCTAAACCCTGTCTCTGAGTATGGCAGCGCCTCTTCTTCTCCTTCCCGGATCTCCTCCGAAATCGGATCTCTCGGCCTCGCCGGACCTCCTTCTCCCTCGGCTTTCTCCTTTGGCTCTCCGGGTAAAGGGATTCACTTGCCTACTCTACGCACCTGCTTGATTTTGCTTTCTAGGGTTTCGCTTTTGGGGGCCGAGGAATTAGGGCTCACGATTGAGAATTGGCGGACTTTATTTACTTGTTTGTTGCTTCGATCTCTTCCAGGGGGTAATTTGTTCGGAAATTTTAGCCACATGCTTGGAAATTTATGGTTTTGCTGTGGGTTTTGGTCTTACTAGTGATTTAACTTAAGCTCAGTTTAACATCTTGTTCTCGGATTTACTGTAGACACGATGGTTTCCGCAGGGGAAGATATCCGTGGATCTTCCAAAGAGGTAACTTGTCTCTTTCTCCTTGAATCACCCGCGCTTTGGGGGGACATTGAACATCGTTTTATAATGTTTTGCTATTGTCTTCTCCTTTGCAGGTGACCGGAATTGGCACAGGGATGGAGACCTTTTCCCGCCAGGGTGCAGACAGACATCACGACCATCCTCGATCAGATGGTCGACGGAATAGATCCAGAGGGAGAACTCATGGTTTTTCTCGAGGTCAGCATAATACAGGACCTTCCAATTCTCCTACAAGTGCTTCACGTCACAATCCGACCGGTAGAAGAGCCAATACAATCAGCGGGAACCATTTACTGAATTTTCACTATGATCCCATTTCATCGCCTCAGACCAGGGCTCCTCCTCAACCTCAAAGAAGGCCATACAAGAGAAGACCTTATAACAAGGATTTGTTTCTTCAGGCCAATTACAAGTTTGTTGTGTTGGACACAGGAGATCATTCCCCTGAGTCAATGGACCCTGATAAAATGCTGCAGTGGGACGATATAATTTGTGTCCGGTATTCCACCCCATCTCCTGTGCAATGCCCAATCTGCTTGGAGTATCCTTTGTGTCCACAGATTACCTCTTGTGGGCATATCTTCTGTTTCCCATGTATTCTTCAGTACCTGTTGATGGGTGTGGACGATCACAAGATAGAATGCTTCAAGAGGTGCCCCTTATGCTTTGTGATGGTGTCTCCAAAAGATTTATACACCCTTTATATTGAAAATGTCAAGCAATACTCTGTTGGAGATGTGATAGAATTTGTACTTCTGACTCGTAAGAAAGAGTCATTTGCTCCAACACGAAAAGCTGAGGATGACGTACAGGTGTCCTTGTCTAATTGTGAAAATGGAATATATGATCCATTTTCAAAGTTCACTTTCACCACAGATGTTGATCTCTCCGTTAGACAAGCAGTTTCAGAGTTAGATGGCTGGATTGCAAGAGCAGATTCAGGGCTTGTTGATGATTTGGAGAAGCTTCCATATGTAAGTGCTGCTCTGGAGCATTTGGAGCAGAGGAAAAAGTACTGGAATGAGCACAGGCTCTCTAATTTTAGCAAACCTAGCACGAAGGCTAGAAATCAGATGCAGTCTGTCTCACCTGCTAATGTTTCTCAAGTTGGCAATCATGTACCCGTCCAGGGGCATGGAACAACAGCTAGCTGTTCCAATAAGCTAAACAAATCATCAGTGGAGAAGTCCGATGGTGAATCTAGCTTGGACAAGAGTGGTGATGATGGCGACCATCGGATAGAAGACCGGGAGATCCTTTTATCTTCATCCTGCAATGGGAACAAAGGCCTCCTGATGCACCAAAATGTTGCTGGAGATCCAAAGGATAGGGACTCGTACAATTTTTATCAGGTGATTGATGACTAACGAACTGTTTCTATTGACTGTTTGCTTAGAATACTAATTCACAGTAGCACACAACTTATATCTTGCTATGTGCTGTCTTGAAGATTTCAAGACAGATGAGTTTTTTTTATATGTAAAGCACTGTTATTTTCTGTTTCTTAGAATGTTGGTTTACTTATTTGACATACTCAATGATTCTTTTCTTCCGCTTTGATTGTATGTGTCTTTCCAGTCTGTTGATGGTCAGCATATCGTCCTTCACTCATTAAATATGAAGTGCCTTATCCATCATTATGGCAGCTATGATTTACTTCCACCAAGGTATGAGTTGATCAGACTCATTTATGCTTCAGAGTTCTTTTATGAAAAATAAAATGAAATAGGCTTGAACGAGAGCTTCTTTAATTCCTTGACATCTAAAACAATGTGATTTCTGCCTGTACTTAACACTTTTGAAAAAGTGTGTGATGCACCTTGCACGGTACCTAGATTTATGAGTCCCAGAGAAGGAGACTACAATATGCAAATGCCATGTATAGAAAATGCAAGGAAAACACTCTTAATAGAAATGGTTGAGCAGAAAAGGACTTCAACTGCATTTTTGGTTTCTTCTCGACTTCTGATTCAAATCCACTAATCTGCAGAGTAAGAGGAAAGATATTGGAGTTGGAAACCGTTACCCAATCGGAGGGAATGAGGAGGCGCTACCGATTCTTGAGTCATTTTTCTTTGACTACTACATTCCTGGTATATTTCCGTGTGGTAGTTTATCTTCAGTGTGCAATATTAGCTCTGACAGTTTTCCTTGTGCTATCTTTTTTATTATGTCAGATATGTGAAATTGACATGCGAGAATCCTTGCCTCCCAATGCCTTTGCTCCGTTTTTGGATGAAATCAAGAAGCGTGAGAAGCAGAGGAAAGACCGTGCAAGAAAGGTATCCATATTCTGTTCTCTCCCATGTCTATTAATACATAGTTAATTAGAATATAATCAGATTAGTATCCCTGAATCTCTGCTCCTAAACCCTAGCAAACGTTAGGGCAAAAATACCCAAGTAGTACTTTCATGGCTTTGAAGTCATAGTCTTCTCCTCCTCAGGAACGGAAAGAGAAAGTCAAGGCTGAAGTAGCTGCTGCTGCAGAGCTTGCACCTCTGGTGACTAGTTTTGGGCAGTCCTCTCGTAACGACTTTCCTCCATTCTCCTTGGATGACTTTGAAGGTGAGCAAATTCCTCCATTCCGTATATGGAACTGTTACTGATTCTTGCTCATTGGTGTTGTTTTGACCGATCATTTCAAAACTGTTTATGTGCTTTTGCTGATCTGAATCAAGTGCTCTCTCCCTGTTTCTTATTAGCCCTTGGAAATGCTGCCCCTGTTTCATCAAGCCCTCCAAACACTGGGGAGAGGAGTTCATTCTCAAATGTGACAAGGCTTGGTTTTGCAGCTGGCCATGACTCCCCTGGCCTGATAAACTTGCCCACGAGCATCCAAAACAATTCCATTCAAGTTGCAAACACAGTCATAGGTACTGTACTGATATACTGATCCCAGCGTGAAAGTTCTATTCATGAGAATGTTTACTTGAGAATAATCTGAAAACAATGCGGAATGTTAAACGTGTGTTTAGGTTCAAGAAATCCCGGGGTAATGTCATTTGCAAGTGCGATATCGAGGACACCAGTCACTGAGACTGTCAAAGAGGCCGGGAAGAGAGGGAAGAAACCGGCCCGAGTGCTCCTATCAACATCCAGTGTTCGAAGATACTGAAAGATAAGTGCTTTATCGAAACGCGTTGTTTTATAAAAGTAGCCTCCTCGGAAACAGATCTCACTTGAGAAGAAACCAAGCCAAGAGGCATTAGTGTTTGGGTTTGTGTTAGAAAAAACAGTGTGTTTGGGTTTGGACCAAATCTTTGGTTCGTATGGAATGATTTATCGCTGTGGTGAACTGAATGTAAAATAATGCAAGGGGGACCTGTTACCATTGATGTGGCTTCAGGACAAATCTGAGTTGCTGAAATATCTGAGCAGAGTAGATCCAAAGAGATTGGAAAATATCACCCGAACTCCTTGTGGATTCCGGTTCTCTCACGGTGATATGTCCAAATCTTATCCATTCTTCGCTTTGGCTCAAAATATCTTCGTGTCTCTATGCGGGAAAATCGAATCGCTAGAAAAGGATAAGTTCAGTGAAGAAAATTATTGGAGGTACATATCATTTTATTTCAAAAGAAGAAAATAGGATTCCTCCAGCTATAAATGGGCGATCACTACACAAAATTTACAAAGAAGCCAATTCAATACACAAACCTGATCCATTTATCTTAGGACACACCAAAAACAAAAACAAAAACAAAAACAAAATGCAGACAGGCCTGAGCATGATGAACATGTCCACTCTCCCTGTTCCTTCGCCTCTGAATAGATCATCACCACCTTTCTTTCCACTTCCCTCTCCAAAACTCGATTCCAAATCCACTCCCAGAGTCTTCTCTGCAAAAGCAGCTCCTGCATCTTCTGATCCTCTCACCGTCGACTACAGCTCTTTCGTCTCGTAAGTCTCTCTCTCTCTCTCATCTCTCTGTTCTCTCATATATTGACCCTTTCAAAACTGCTCTTCGAATCAGCGTCTTCCCAGCTGAAGCGTGCGAGACGATTGGCGGGGAAGCCTGTTTGGCCGACGTTTACCCTGAAGTTAAGCTCACCTCTGAACCCACCACCCCAGCCATGCCAGCTTCAGAGCCCTATGACAGAGAGTACCTCGAGTACAACGACCCCAAGACGTAACACTTCTTGTCCTTGCGCCACTTCTTGTCTCTGTAGTTTTAGATCGTGTTAAAAGGAAAAACATACCTCTGATGTGTTACACAACTTGAACAGGGTTTTCTGCGCGGAGGCATGTGATGACCTTGGAGGAGAGTTCTGCAGCCCTGATTACCAGAAGGGTGTCTACTAGAAGTATAGAAGAAGACCCAGATGTGTATATTGCCCATATGTGATGTGCTTATATATATAAATCAGACATGTCTCTGTAACTACTTGTTGATACATCTACAGTCACATATAAAAAGAACAGCGAGTTGAACTGAAGTACCTGAAACCATGACCATGCCTCTGAACATCAGAATATGTAGTCTCTCCTTGAGAAACTTGCTCAAGAACCGTGATAAAGAAATTTCCTGTGCGCAGCTTGAGAAACAAAGCATGTGATACATTTGCTAAAAAGGTTGAAAGTTATGTAACACCCAGCCTTGAGTCAGGGCAAAACGCTTAAAAACATAGTTTTTCATCCGAATACATATTTGCTTAAACTGATGAGACTGAGAAGAAAATTGCAATACTAAGAGAAACTAGATCTGGCAGGCTGCTCCACAGATTCACATCTGCTGCGAGGGTCTTGTGCTAAACCACGCCAGCATAGCCTGCTGTATCCAAAAGCACTGCTTTGATTTGCTCCGGCAATATGTCCTGCCCTTCTTTGCATTGCTGCAAGAAAAGAACATGTTCAGACTCCCGCAGATGTGAATTTCCCGATAATTCTCCCTTATGAACCATTATAAAAAGCTGCCATATCACGGGAATCGTGTACATAGGCTAGTCGCCACATCTAACCATGGTGAAAAGCAAGCTGAGCACAGGAACAGCTCTTCACTAGTGATCTATTATGGATATTAGCCTTTCATATGAGCATACGCCAAGCAGCAAGACTAAAGATCGTGCTAAATTTTCCAGAAGTGAGGTTGTTGAATCGAACGCACTTTCTTCTCGCCCTTGCTCGACGGGGCTAAGACACATGACTGTCACCAAAAGGAATTCACTCTTAGTAGAAAGCAGTAATAGCACAAGTTTGGAGTCTCATATTTTTTTTTTTTCTATTTTACCAAGAAAGATGGTGGCAATCCGTATCTCAGTATGCTCTCTGCAAATATCCGCACTGCACAAAAATGCATCCATGAGCTGAAAACCTACAGCCAAAAAACAAATTACCCAGTTATCCCAAATCTTTTTTCCAATTGGGAAAAAAAACATTAGGAAATATATTAATTACACCATTATCCAAAGTTTCAAGCTTTCAACCATAGATAGAACTCAGATGATATCTACCTCTCCATAACTAGTGTAGCACCATTGCAGAAGAGAGCTTCTCAAGCTTTCCTGATCCTGAACCAACTTTTCTAACTCTTGTTTACGACTCTCTTGTGCTGCTGAACATCCAATCCTAGGTTATCCAAGGCTCTCATGGTGGAAAGCAGGAGACCAGGTCTACGTCCACAGAACATATGTATATTCACTGCCCTTCCTTCTCTTAATCTAACCTCAACCTGCAAAGAAAGCATCATACAGTTATGTAATACGTGAAACCCGAGTTTCCTCTAGCCATCTAAAGCAAAGTTCTCGAGAAGAGATAAGCTTACCCTTGCCGGCTGGCCTTTGGGGCTCGGCAATGAGGAAGGACATAACTCTTCCTTGAGACGGCAAGGAAGCGACTGCGGGGTAGGTGTCAATGGGTGGAAGTTTGATGAAGGAGGCAGTGTCAAAGACCCGGGTGGAGTAGACTCCAGTTCGTTGTGAAGATCATTGATCCTCTGCAAGAGTTCCTTCAGATAGTCAATGGCGTCTCCAAGTATCGAAGCTCTATCCATCTGGAAAAATCCACAACCAAAACCTTGCCATGAGTCTTAGAAAGAGAGTGCACAATCCTCGATGCAAGCAATTAACAGAGCAGATTCAGAGATACTTTTCCACAACCATATAATCAAAGAACACAACTTGTGCTGGAAAAAGGGGAGATGAAAAAAGGATCTTACTTTGCTGATCTTGGGGACAACTGATCTAAGCATGTAAAGCCTATCATTGAGCTTCTTCCTCCGCCTTCTCTCGGCCATCAAATTCTTCGCAGGCATTCCCTTCTTCTTGCCCTTTTGCTCTCCTCCGCCGCCTCCACCGTTCTGAACATCCTCACCTGGTTTTAGGCTCTCGTTGAGCTCGTCAGACTCGTAATTCAACCCAGAGACCTCAATCCCTGTCTCATCCATCTCTCCCTCGTCACTCAGCTTCCTCATTCCTGAATTCTCAGAACTTCCCATCTTACTCCCCGAGTTCTGACGCATCGCGGCTCGCTTTTGGAACAGTGTCGGCTGCGCGCCAGATGATGCCAATACATCTAGCGGTTTCAGGACCTTGGCTCTGTTCCCGAAAACGCCATTGGCGGCGCTCTCAAAGCCCTCGAGTTCCAGAGGGTTGAACCCGCCTCCACCCAAAGCGGAGCTGTTGTCCGGCGTCGGGAGCGAGGACCGGACGGCGAGGTAATCGGTGGCGGAAGCGAAGTCCGGATTCCCCATCTGCGTTTGAGACATCAATCCGGAGAAGCCCATCGAATTCGGAACATGATTTCCGTGAAACTGTCCCAGGAAACCGGATTCAGAGCCGAACTCGAAGGCATTGTCAAAAGGATTAGCGGAGGGGACGTTGAGGTGCGGAGCGACGCAGGACTTGGCCGTTAAGAATGGTTGAGGTGGCTGTGAAGGGTCGAGGTTAAACGCCTGCGACGGAGAACACGAGGAAGAGGAGTCAATCGACTGCTGAAGAAGGAGATTCTCAGGTGGGTTAAAGGCGAATCCACCGAACAATCTGAAATCATGGTGGTTGTGGAGGATCTGGAGATCGTGAGGAGGTGGGTTGGTGAACCAGTCACCCTCGAGCATGGGTCTGAAGTGTGAGAGAGAAGCTCCTCCATCGTCTTGGTTTCTGGTCCACGAAGCAGCCTCGTCGCCATTTCCGCCGTCCTTGTCCTCCGGTGGCCGTTCTCCGGTGGAGCCTAACCAAACGACGCCGTTTCCTTCCAAACCCATCTGAATCAAGGAGACTGCGGGGAAAAGTGAAATGCGGAGGGAAATTTGAAGATGAAGCAGAGAAGTGGAAGAGAAAAGAGTTTGAAAAGAAACGCGCATCTACTTTGAATTTTCATAGACCGAAAAGGGCATTGAAGAGGGAATCACAAGAATTTCATGAAGTGCGCAAAATCAGAGAAAAAGCGAAATCAAAAAGGGAAGAATGAAGATTCAGAGCTCAAATTAAAAACCCTAACAATTGAAAGATTGGGAATTGAAACGCCCACCACTCCTTTTCTCTCTCTGCTTCAACACGACCCCGAGGTTCTCGTGACTCTTCTTTCCGCCTTTCACCGCCACTCGTTTTCGCCACCTCCCTCTCTCTCTCTCTCTCTGAGTTAACACTTGGAAGATGATTTATCATTTGTCTGGTGTTATTTGCATAACAATGGCGCCTCTGCGCTAATCCATGCACGCGTGTCCGCCATGCAACTGCTAATCTGTGGAAGAAAAAAAATTAATTAAAAACTATAAACTTTGAGAAGAGAAAATAATAGCCAAAAAAAATTCTTAAATATATGAATTTTATTGTAATATTATATGCATAACAGGCTAATCAATAAAAGGATCTTCTCTCTTTATATAATATGTAGATGGACATCATCGGCCCAAAAGGCCTTAAGGTTGATTTCCTATTGGGCCTTATTATACGGATCAAATACGGCCCAAGTTAGATCGAATCACGTGGCCGCACGTGAGATCATCTCTCTCCCCCTCTCCCTCACCTAATAAAAGCTTACAAATCCACATGCAGATATTGCCGCTGTAGTAATGAGAGACAGACAATCCAAGCAGCCATAGAGAGGTGAAGATGAAAGGGTTAAGCTTTTTAGGATTTAATTTAATTACCCAATAATTACACACTGATTACTTACCTTAATCCCAATTAATTTGCCTTTCGGTTTTTCGTCAACCAAAAATGTGTCTTAATCCAAGATTCTCACTTTAACTTCTTGACAATATATTATCTTCCACACCCAAATC